AACTTCAGAACCTGTCTCTTATACACATCTAGATGTGTATAAGAGACAGAAAAAAAGGTGGACAAAATTGTCTGGAAATGAAAAAAAAGTAGATAAAGTTGTTCAGACAAAAAAAAAAGCGAACAAGATGGAAAAAAAAAAGTGGACAAAGTTGTCCAGACAAAAAAAAAGTGAAAAAAAAGTAGACAAAGTTGTCCAGACAAAAAAAAAGTGAAGTAAAAATGGACAAAGTTATCCAGAGACGAAAAAAAAAGTGGACAAAGTTGTTCAGAGACGAAAAAAAATGGATAAAAATAAAAAAAAAAGTGGACAAAGTTGTCCAGAAATGAAAAAAAAGTGGACAAAGTTGTCCAAAACCGAAAAATGAATAGAAACAAAATAAAGGGGAATGGGACAAAATTATTATCTACCTTATCGATAAATGTAAAATTTGAAAATGATTCCTCCAGATTAAAATATATACAACCTTCATTTTTTTTATATGACATTCTTACTTTATCTTGCTCGAAAGTACATGAATCAATTTTTTTATCCGTCTTTGTCCAAACAAGAGAAAGTGCTGTTGAAATTAAGCTTTTATCATTATCAGGTAAATAAACTTTTTTCCACGAATTTTTGAATTGAGAATTGAACAGGATGTTTTTGACATTTCTAATATATTTATTCAATATTTTAAAAGCTGATACTTTATTTTTTATTTTTAAAATGAAAAGGGAAGAAAGCAATTGGGATACTAAAAACTGTAAAAACTGATATTTATTTGATTGATCAAATAATAACATTTGATAACGTGATTGTTTTAACACTAGTCAAATGATGTCAAATCGGAGACCAATCAGGTGACCGAATTCCACTTGATTGGTCCCTATTTTTTTTAAAATTTTTATCAATCGGTAAACCCGATTGCTGCCAAAAGATGGCGCAAAAAGAGGATACTTGGGTACTAATCGGGATATTCAATAGAGTACAATCGGGTATTAATAGTTACCAATAGGATATTTACTGAATATTTACTATTTGACATATCAGTATACCGATTGATAACTTTTTGATTAAATGTCAATGTACTGATTGATTACTTTTCAATTAATTTATAACAACGCATTTTTATTTAAAATTATTTGAAATTTACATTAAAATTACAAAAACCAGAAATACTAATTATTAAATTATTTAAATTATTTAATAATTCCATATATATTTACTAATATTATCATTGAATTCTTATACTTTCAAAACTTTACTGATTCAAATCCAAGTCAGAATCAGAACTGATAAACCTACAAAATGAAGAAAAAATTAAATATTTTTTAAATATTAAAAGTGTTTCAAAATGAAACTTTTCAAAACTTACCATTACCGATCTAAATTCAAGTCCAAGATCAGATTAAAGCTGATGGTAACTTAAAAAATAAAAAATATTTTTAAAAAAGGTTCAAAATGAAAGTTTTCAAAACTTACCATTACTGATCCAAATCTAAGTCCAAAAATCAGTATCGTACCTACAAAGTAAAGAAAATTATTAAATATATTTTTTTTAAAAAAAATATTAAAAATTTCAAAAGTTAAGCTAAACTTTCGAAACTTACCGATCCCATATCGAAGTCTGGGATCGTTCCTAAAAAAAATTTAAAAATGGAACATTAGTAAAGTTCACTAATGTTCCTAATTTAAAAAAATTCCCCCCTCCCCTCTTTATTTACCTTCTGAGACATTTTGTCAGTTCTGAAGCATCTTGAGGGTTCTACAATAAAAAAAAAGAAAATGGAACGTTAGTAAATGACACTAACGTCCATAATTTAAAAAAAATTCCCACTTCCCTTCTTTAATTACCTTCTGAGGCGTTCCGTTAGTTCTGTGTCTGGAAGGTTAATAAAAAAAATCATTTTTTTTTTATTTTTTTTATAAAAAAAAGATCATATCTGATAATCTGTTATTCAGACTTATCGGATCATGTGATCTATCTGATATGATAATATCAAGCGGAATAGTGTCGGAATGGCAGAATCGATCCTATAAAAAATTTTACCATTATTTCTGTAAAAATGAATCTTTTATGGATCTATTCATGAAAAATATAAATAATTCGGTAAATTCCATGATATAAGGTAAAATCAAAAAATCAAAACAAACGTTCTGATAAATTTTTGCATACACAGATATGCAATTAAAGTTTCAAAGTCGAAACTTTGGGATTCCGGTATCCAAATCGGAGCTGATTTCCCTAAAAAAAAAAGAAAAAAAAACGTTATTTAAAGAACGTTTTTTTTAAAAGAGTTTCAAGTTTCGAAGTTTCATAACGTAACGAAACTTTGAAATATTGGGATTCTGGTATCCAAATCAGAACCGATTTTTCTAAAAAAAAAAGAAAAAAAATGTTATTTAAAGAACGTTTTTTTTTAAAAAAAGTTTCAAGTTTCGAAGTTTCATAACGTAACGAAACTTTGAAACATTGGGATTCCGGTATCCAAATCGGAACCATTTCCCTACAAAAAAAAATGTTAAAATAATGTTTTTTTTTAATAGTTTTGAAAAAATTATTTGAAACTAACCTATGGGATTCAGTATCCAAGTCGGAACTGATTTATTACAAAAGAAATAAAAAAAAACGTTAAAATAACATTTTTTTTAAAAAAACATTTTGAAGTTTCAAAGAAAGAAACTTTGAAACTTTGGGATTCCAGTTTCCAACTTCGGAACTGATTTCCCTGTAATAAAATAAAAAAAGAAAAGTTTCGAATTGAAACTTTCTTTTTGGGATCGGTTTCCAACTTCAGAACCGTTTCCCTACAATAAAATAAAAAAAAAACGTTTATTAACATTTTTTTAATAGTTTTGAAAAAAATTTTCAAAACTGACCTATGGGATTCAGTATCCAACTTGGAGCCGATTCCCTATAATAAAATATTAGAAAAAAAATGTTAAAAACGTTTTTTTAATAGTTTCGAAAAATTATTTTTCGAAACTAACCTATAAGATTCGCTATAACCGATTCCCTATAAATTGAATAATAAAAAAAAATGTTAAAAACGTTTTTTTAATAGTTTCAAAAAATTATTTTTTGAAACTTACCTATGGGATTCGTTATAACCGATTCCCTATAATTTTAATAGTTTTGAAAAAATTTCTTCGAAACTAACCTATGGGATTCGTTATCAAACTTCAGAACTGATTCTCTACAATAAAATGTTAAAAAAAATGTCAAAAACCATTTTTTAATAGCTTCAAATAAATGATTTTTTCAGTTTAATAAAGTTTTGAAAGTAAAATGTTTGAAACTTTTGTGGGATTCCGGTATCTAAATCAGAACCAATTTCCTAAAAAAAAAATTTTTTTAAAAGTTTCAAAAGTAAATGTTTGAAAAAAATGTTAAAGATAGTATGAAATAGTTTAATTAAGTTTCAAAAGTAAATGTTCGAAAAAAATGTTAGTGTAAATTTCAATAATATAAAATAGTTTAATTTTAGTTAATGAAAAATAGTTTATCAATAGTCTAATTGAAACAATAGAAATCAATCNAAATGTTAGTGTAAATTTCAATAATATAAAATAGTTTAATTTTAGTTAATGAAAAATAGTTTATCAATAGTCTAATTGAAACAATAGAAATCAATCAGTAAATTTAAACTGAACAATAGTTATCAATCGGGTATTAACCTGATTGATACCCGATTGAAGTGTATACCAATTTCTAACTATTGAATAAATCAGGTGACCGATCAAAAAAAAAGTTACCAATTAGGTAGGTACCCGATTGGTCAGCGTTTTACCTGTGTAATACGTAATTGTATATTGTAATACATTTGATAGAATGAGTTTGATACAATCATGATATATATAATTGTTAAAATAATGTATTGATTATAGTTGAATAATCTGATATATTATTATTATTTTAATTGGATTTTGGAAATAATATTCCCGTATTCTGGTGAGAAAATTTTTTTTCGCTTTGGTGGGAATATTTTACAAAAAAAATGATTATATGAAGATGATCTACAGTCAATCATAATTTTTAACAATTTCAACTTTTTTGGTATTGATATACTTTGACATCAAAACTCTTTATTTTTGACATGAAACTTTAGTTAAGGCAGCGTGTATATTCTGGATTATTTGCAGATTTGCGAATTATTTGCAGATTATTTGCGGATTTGTGGATTATTTGCGGATTTGTAGATTATTTGCGATTGTGAATTTGCAAATAATTATTCTTCAAAATCTGCAATATTTCGCAATATCACAAATCGCAATTAATCCGCAATTAGAGTATTGCGGACATATCTTTAGTTGAGGTGTATGTTTAGAGGTTTATGTTTTTATTTTTTGCTTTTTATTTTTCTTGGTCACTTTTTTCAGTGTAACCTTATTTTCTTTGGGGAGTAGGGAATACTGGAAAATTTGATCATCATGGTAGTTTGGTGTTACTAATTTTCAAAATTGATGATCACTCGGGTGATAAGAGGGTGACAGGTTGGGTACCACAGTTTTTGTAGTATGCCGATCATGGTGGTCACATGTTGGACTATCATTGGAAACTACCCCAAAAACACCCTAAAAAATTCTGCATAAATCATGTGATTATCACATATCACATGATTGTGATAGATAATTACGTAATTAAATAAATTAAACTTTTTACAACGAAATATATTTTTTTCACTTTTCTACTTCAAATATGGATATTATAACTAGTAATTTGCAGAAATGTAAAAAATGTCAAAAAAGTTTACCTATGGAAGCTTTCATTAATGAAAACACACGCCAGTTTAAAACTTGTAATATATGTCACCATAATGCTGCTTTACAATATGAACAATCTAATCAATTTAATTCAGAACTTTTAACACTAGAAGAAATGTCAAAACAACTATTTGTAAAGATTTTAGAAATTGACACTAATGAATACTTAGAAAATGATTTAACTGGAATAGATTTTAATTGCAATATTTCAATTGATATGATAGACGATGATCCAAAAAAATTATCCAAGATGATCATTGACTTAATAAGTGAAAGTGATGGCTATTATTATATTTATAAGGATTCTTATACTTCAAAGTAGTGTTGCAGGCGAAACCAAAACTCACTTTCTGGCGAAACTTCCGAAACTTGGCGAAACTGGTTTTGCCAAAGGTGTCAAATTCCGAAACTGGTGATACTTCCGAAACCTGGCGAAACTTCTGAAATCTGGCGAAATGTCCGAAACCTGACGAAATTAAAAAAGCCATGTGTTAAACTTTAATTGGCTGTAATTTGAAAGATAATTATTCGTATCCAAGATGTAAAAGAAAACATAACGCGCATATACTATTTTATTTTCATTGTTTTTTCAATATAAATAGTATATAATTAATATGTAAATTTCAAACAATTTTAATTATAAATAAAGTAATGTTTTAATAGTTGCATTTCCTTGTTAATTTGCCGGTCATATGGAAATCACAGGTCACATGACTTATTCCTTGCTCCTCGTCATTTAACCGTCTTTAACCAATAAATAAATGCACGTAGTTCGTTTCCACTTCTATATAATAAATAAAACAAAACAAATAAATTATCATAAATAAAAATAACGTTAAATATTAATAGTTTTCCGATTTAAGTTCAAAGATAAAGCGTTTAATAATAAAATATTTGTTTTATTTTCATTTTTTTTACCTATATACATTAAATTTTAATATAATTGAGGTTTCGCCAAGTTACGGAAATTTCGCCAAGTTTCGCCAATTTCAGAAGTTTGGGCAAATTTCGCCAGGTTTCACCAGTTTTGGAATAGTTTCACCTTTTTTAGGTTTCGGTTTCGGCATTTCGCCAATCAAAAAACAGTTTTGCCCGAAACATTACTTCAAAGAAAGCATCCGATATTTTAACATTTTAATATAAATGTTCTCAATGTAAGTCTCTTGCAAAAAGACCTAAAAAAAATGAATCCATTGAAAAACAAAGAAATTAAATACCAATTGAGCGATTTAATTGCAATAGGTTGATTAAAATCAAACTTAAAATGGGAACCAATATTGCATCAGTTAATCTTCAGCATTCTATAATTCATAAACAACCTGAACGATTTGGTGTAAATGAAAATATTGAAGAAGAAATCAGAAAAAACATTCATCTTACTCCAAGTGATATTTATCGAATTCTAGAACATGATAATCCTAATTTAACACAAAAGCAAGTACATGCTTAGTGGTCAATATTAATTAAGCAAGAATACATTAGAGATGATAAAAATCAACTAAATTCAGCTGAAGTTCTTCTAAATGAATATGGATATAAAACTCTACTTAATAATACTAAAGATAGAGTTAAATATTTAAGCTTTACTACACCATTTTTTGAAAAAATGATAGAAACCCAAGAAATTGTTGTTGATGCAACATATAAGACTAATGTTTTTGGATATGAACTTTATGCTATTATTGGACAATTTGATGGTTCAGGTTTTGCAATGACTTATCTATTTGTAGAAGGAAGTAAAAAAAGTGATAGAGCACAAACTGAAATCTTGACTTTATTTTTTAGAGCATTATATGATTTAGGGATGAAAAATATTCAATTTTTTTTAACAGACAAAGATTTTGCGCAAATTTTAGCTGCACAACAAATTTGGCCACATGTCAAAATACAAATATGTCTTTAGCATATTAAAAAGGCATTAAAAAAATGCCTTTCTGATAATACACAGCCTAAGATAATAACATATAGTTCTAATTCTACACATGAAGTATTTGACTTCATTAATATTGATTTTTATCCAATAATAACAAATGAAAAAAAAAGCAAAAAGGATTTCTATTTTTGCCCTCAGGCATTATAATTAAAGATTATTGAAATTTTAGAAATACATATATATCATCATTCATTAATTCCTAATATAAATGGATATCATTTGTCAGCTGAAGAAATTTGGAGAGAGTCTGCATATGAAATATATGAATTTTGCTTTGGCAATGATTTATAAAATGTGTGGGCTTACTTGTGGACAAATGGTACAAAAAAAAAATTTGGATTTTGTGGGCCTGTTCTGCAATACCAGAAAAAATTTGCATGTTTCGTATAACAATACTTTCAGAATCTCATTGGAAAGTTATAAAACGAGATTATTTGCCCAAATTTTTTTGACCACGACTTGATTTAATAATCCATGTTCTTCTTACCCGTTTAATTCCACATCAGCAACAACAATATAATAAGTATTTATATGGACATGAAAAACCTTTTTGGCGAAAAGATTTTAAAAAGGAATGGAACAATTTGCAAAAAAAAGAAATCAATAATAAATATTTTACTGATACTGAAAAGTGGATATGTTCTTACTTGGACTTTTTAAAAAATTGATTTTTTCTTTGTAAGCATTTAATTAATGCTTTTCAATTTACAATTACTCCTTCCTTTTTTCACAAAGTTCAACGGCAAGAAATATATCCATTTATATTTTTATCAGCTGAAGGATCAATTCAAAATCCATCTTCTATTTCAAATAAAGGTAAAAGTATTATTTATATTTTGCATACTAACATTAGCAAAAAATAATTCTTTTTTTTGTTTAGATAATGTATTAAATAACATAATGAATTTAATGAATAATAATGAATATACCCAACTTATAATTGTAATTTAAAGATTACAAATTAATACTACATGAAGCATTAAGAATTGTAGAGGAACAAGAAAATATTAGTAATAAACGATGAGCACAAGCAGTTTAAATAAGTTTCAAGGGCATTAAAAATTTGGTAACTGATATTAATAAGTATGAAAGATGAATTACAAATCCACGTACTTGGAAAGATCACAATAAGCATATGATGTTTTTAAAAAAGTGATTTATTTTATAAATAAAATAGTAAATTAATTAATTATGAAATATTTGCATTTTTAAATAATTTTAACTTTTTTTAAAGGTGATTTTCAAAATAAAATGCATTAAAATATTTGAATAAAATGTTAAATATTAATATTAATTTTATTTATTTAATTACGTAATCATCTAGTATCACAATCATGTGATATGTGATAATCACATGATTTACGCAGAATTTTTTGGAGTGTTCTTGGGGTAGTTATCATTAGATTGATTTATCTAGGTAAATCTTAGGCTGATGGATCGTTCGTAATAAGGTGGATGTCCCTGTTGGGATTGCATGACATTAAAAAGTTCTCTGGGGTCTTTGTGAAATAGGTTTGTTATTCAAAGTATGTAGTCAAATAGGGGAAATTGAATTTTGTTCCTTTTTGATAGCACTAATGGTATTTGACAATAGGATTCTTTGATCTTTAAATGTAGCAGAGGGTCTCACTGGATACATATAGCATAGTCAACTTTACCTTGTTTGAGATATAACTCGGGGGAGTAGCCATAGTTATTTGTATAGAGAGAATGTTGGGTTTATAATCTTAGCATTTCTTTTTATGTATTTCTTGGAAGATTATTTGTTCTTGTATTAGTTAGTTCTGCACTTTGTTGCAGTTCTTTCTTAAATACCTGGTATTTTCTAAAGTAACTCTTAGCAAAAATTAATAAAATTCAAGCACAAGCTTTGTTAAATTAAATAGATCAACTATATTTTGCGCTATAACTTCACTAGATCCTGTTAGAATCATTTCTAAAGAGAATTCAGAAATCTCAATATTAAATGCTTTATCTGATTGCAAAGCAACCTCTTCAGTTTGTCCCTTGCATTCCATATAAGCAGATAACTCGTATCTCAAATCTTGTTCTACTTTCTGATTATAGGTGATTTTCTGATTGTTAAGCACTTGCTCGTTTGCTATAGAAGAATAACCCTGTCCATTTTTTTCATTCAAGGAAGTGGCAGAATCCAAAGAAGCTATGAGTATCTCTGAGTCCAGTTCTTTTTGGAAATCATCTTGAAGTTTCTTCTTCCGCTTCCTCTTTCTAATCTCATTGCTAACCTTTTTCTTATTTACCTCATCCAGGAAAAAGTCTAACTTTTTTTCTTCTGATAACATAGAGCTGGCAAGTACTTCTAACATTACATCATTGACTTCATGATCAGATTTACACCGCTTGAGCTGAGTCATAATGGAGTAAGATACATTAGCAGGTTTTTCAGGATAATCATCTATTTTCTTATCCTCAATTACCTTGATGTTGACACTATTTTGCTGGTTTACTACAGACTCATCAGCTAATACTGGGTTATCTATAAATAGATAACCGCACCTCTGCTATCACATCCTTATCATTCTGTGGCTATCCAGTTACTTCAGTAACACCCTGTTTCAATATTGCAAGCCTAGCTTCGAGTTTCCTAACTTTAGACTTGAGTTCAGTATTCTTAACATCACGCTTGGCATTTTTCTCCATAACCTGCTTTAGAAATTCAGCATTCCTGGCCTTAATTTCAGCTTTTTCAGTCTTAAGCTTGGCATTCTCAACTTCAAACTTAGCGATGCGTTGCTCCAATAATTTAAGCTTGGATTGCATTTTCAAAAATACTTTTTATGTACTGCACGTAACCATTCAAAATAAAAAAAAATCTCATGAACATTTTATCTATAATCACGAATCTTCAGTGCAAAAATTATCTTTTGTTTATTAATCACAAATAATACATCAGAAATTCATAAATTTTTGAAAGGGAAAAAAATGCAAATTATGCTACTATAAATTTATATCTTTTTTCATATAAGTAAGAAAACATTTCTTCTCACATTACTAGATTTAAGCTAAAATTTACTGAAAAAAGTATTTAAAAAATCTACATACAGTTAACTCTTAATATAACGAAGTTGGCATCCAGACTGATCAGGCCTTCATTATAGGAATATTCATTAATATGATAGGAAAATCTGGTATAATCCAGAAAATTTTTGTATATTATGGTATATTGTCGTATAATAATTGTATCTTATAATGCAAAAATGCAAATTACATAAAATATCTTCGTTATATTGAAAAAAAATTCGTTATAAAAGAAAATTCGTTATTAAAAGAAGCATTTTTCATATACGGTTTATAAAATTTACTTCGTTAAATGGTATATGGCATTTAATTAGTAAAATTCAGTATAATAAGATTTTTTTTCATATGTTAAAATCTGTACCATACTGAAGATCTGTTATATTGTAAAATTCGTTATATCAAAATTCATTATAAGAAGAGTTAACTGTAGATTTAATGGTTATCAAAGAAAGTGATCGCTCTGAATCAGGGACCTTTTAGGTGTAATAAAATCAAACGATCATATTTACTAGGTAAAATTAGCATATATAGATTGAAACATTTATGAACTAAATCTTCTACTTGAATAGGAGGATTTAACCTCAATTCATCACCTTAAAATTCTCTAATTTGACCTTTACATTTCTATTGATATATCTTAGAAGGTTTAGTTCATTTAAATTTTGAGCATTCTGTTCAGGTAATTTGATAGAACCAGAAATTTTTGTTGATCCAGAATCTTCACTACAATGTTTACTGATCTTATGTAACTTGGTAGTTTGCTATTTTCTGATGCCAGAAGCAAGAGGCCGCGGGCATACCTTCTGGGTCTTCTGATCCTTGTTGAGATAAAACTCAAACGTATTTCCAGTGTTTCGTTCTCGGCCATTGGTAAGATTATGTCGTCCAGTTCCTTAAGAAGTTAAAAGTCATATGAGTTCAGCTTTATTAATTAAGCAAACATTAATAGAGGCTTACCAGCTGATTTTGCTTCAGTATTATGACCCATTAATTGAGGATTAGTGCTATGACAAGCTTCGTTTTTCTGGTTATTAATATATAAAATTTCTTCGTCTTCCTCGAAAGGCTCATCAGATTCCTCCCACTTTTTCAACACGGTTAAGTTAAAATACTTTTTGCGGTCCTCCTCCAATTTCTCCTTCATTCCAGGTTTTAGCAATAATTCCAAAACCCTTTTGGGTTGTGAAGATAACGGTTTATCTGACATATTCGTTAATGAGTTTGTTAATATGATAAAAATCAGAAAGTATATCAGAAAGTTTATGAAATGATTCATTATATCAAAATGGTTCACGTAATTATGAGTCACAATCAGGTTGTGCAATGTTTGGTATGTACCGCCTAATCTAGTAACCTTTGTATTTTTACCCAAATTTTCATATGTATATAGTTAAAAAAATAAAACCGGCAAATGAACAAATACTTTAATACTCAATATATTATTGTGGAGCTTTGATTAATAGACATTTCATTTACACATATACTCTTGTTCAGGACCTAAGAAAGTCACTGTATAAGTCCTGGAAAATTGATTCACGCTGAAGCTTTATCCTTCAATTACTTGGAGTAGATCACTCTGTGAAGCGTTATTGAGCTGATCTACTATAGAGTTAGCTGTCAGGTACATCAATAGCTGATATCTCTGGTATTTTTTCCTCAAGAGAACCTCAAATGCTTCTGGTTTCTGTTTGATCTTCTTGATATCATGTCTTAGTTTTACCACTTTGGCTTTTAAGCTCAGCATTCTCACATCACGCCTGGAATTCTCTTCAATAATCTTGTTTCAGCATTCTTATCCTTAAGCCCAGTATTCTCATCACCCTCGATCTCAGCAAACTTCTTTCTGAATTTAGCATTTTCAACTAAAAGCTTGGCAATTAAACTCTCTTAATGAATCAATAGATTGTGCGATTGATAATACTCGTTTAAATAATAAAAATCATGTGTGCATTACAAATTGTAACGCCAATCATTTTTGCCAAAAAAAATTTTTATTATTACATGTGAAAAATAAATAAATGTTTGGGACTGCGTCCGTGATATATAATGTCTATACTAGTATCTATTCCTACAATTTAACTAACTACCAAACATTTACGTGACTTGGAAATTTGTCCTATGTTCTTTACAGGGTGTCTATAAAATGCATGTTTATTAATGATAAGAAAACTAAGATTGCAAGAAATAGGAACTTATAAAATAACAGATTCTTATACAATATATCTATCTAGCAATTGAGATAATTTGAGCTGTTCCTCGTCAAAAAGCTTTCTTTTCTTTTTTATATCCTTCTGACTTGCCATCCCAAAGTCAATCAGGTATATGTCATCATTATCATTAATTAAAATGTTTTCTTTCTAAATGTCATTGTGGAGGATACCACGTTTGTAGATTGCTTCTAATTCCTTAATAGCTTTCAACCTTTGACGTTTCATTATTTTTTGGTCGCTCAACATAGTGCTAATAATAGTTAAGCTAATAACGAAGCTCATGCCTCCTTCATAATATCTATAACAGACCAGCTTTGGAATATACTTGCCTTGAATATTAGCTAGATCTTTATAAATCTCTACTTCTTTCTGCATTTCTTCCAGAACATATAAAGAGGCCTTCGATAAGTCTGCACTTTTCAGAGCAATCATATCTTCACGAAATTCATATAGGAGAGTTTTTCCACTTCATCCTTTACCTAATATGCTCTTGAACTTGAAGTCTGAAAAGCTATAATTGTTCTACTTAACAGAAGTGTTAGAAGATGATTGTTGATTTGCAAAAGTGCTGGAAAATTGTTGTTGATTTAATGAGGAGTTGGACGATGATTTTGAGTGTGACCAAAGAGTACATGAATTATTGTCACCATGAGCTGACACTACTACTTGAGGATGAGGAGATTCAGGATTATCTTTTACCTGTCAAGTTAGGTAAGTATATACCTTGAATACTGGTGTGGATTTGGATTGCAATGGAAGGGCTTTTGAGATCCAAAGCTTTGCTTGTATGTTTACAGCATAGGAGCCAGTAATTATCATAAATAGCAAGAATACTGTATCTACGTTTATTTTTCCCCCATATAGTTGTAGATTTGTTAGATCACCGTTCTTTGTCTTATAAAACTCAGAAAATGTCTGTTCGCCTATATCTTCTAAAACATGCTTTCTCTTAACTTTGACCACCAATATCAATAGTTCTACGATATAGTGGCAGGTGAAATCAGGTGCGCCAGTAGTATTAGATGAACATCTTGCAAACTTATATTCTAATCTCAAAAGTCTATTTAATACCATACAAATGTTGATGTCATTAGCAACACGAACATCCTCTTCATTATCAGGAATAAGTTGTGGTCTCTTGAATTGATTCACTTTATCGAAAAAATCATCCCAAAGTTGTACACTTGTCGGCGGGTCACCAGAAACTTTTATAGAGTTCTTTAATGTGGTGCATTTTGGAAAATATGTTATGGGCGGTGGAATACATGACAATGCCTCTTCCAAGCTGGAAACTGAAAATGAATACATGTTAATATTATGAAGGCAATTGACAAAAAATTAGCCATTAAGGCGTTTTGTACAGACTGTACCAGACACTTACATGGCAATTTTACAATAACATAGATATGTTTTTTTAAAGGCGAAGTGGACCAGTAGTTTCCAATATCATTTATTGCCAACAGCTCGTCACTGTCCTTGAGTATTAGATTTCTTAATTGATCATCCTGATCGCCAGGAATCGTCACCTTCCATAACTTAATGTCTTTAACAGGAATACTGTCGAAAACAGCTTTTGGCTCTCTTTAATAACTCCTTATGATGGCTAACTAGCTTTCCCTATCAATATCTACGGCAAAAGCACTCACAGTCATATTTCCTTTGACAAGACATAGTAAAGTGATAGTGTTGTATCAGTTCTTTACACTTAAAATTATTGAGCAATTTATGTGGTTAGGTAGCAGAAGGTTTATTAATGTATAACTAGGAAACGGAAACCGTTGTAAGTCTGGAGCAAAAGATTTTGTACAAAAATCCAAATATCTTTAAAAATTCAATTTGTACAAAAAATCTGGCGTTCTAAAAAAAATAAAAAATGAAACATTAAAAACGTTTCTTTAAAGTTAAACAAATAAGAAAAGCCCCTTTTCACAATTTACCTTTAAAAGTCTGGCATATACAAAAAACCTGCGTTCGGCATTCCTAGATAAAAAAAATAAAAATGAAACATTAAAAACGTTTCTTTAAAGCAAAACAAATAAAAAACAACTTACCAGTCAAGAAATCCAGAAACCCTAGGATAAAAGTAAGAAATGAAACGTTAAAAACGTTTCTTTAAAGTCAAACAAATAAGAAAAGCCAATTTACCTTTAAAAATCTGACGTGTACAAAATCCCGTATCCCTAGAAATAATAATAAGTGAAACGTTAGAAACATTTCTTTAAAGCAAAACAAATAAAAAAACAACTTACCAGTCCAGTATATACAAGAAATCCAGAAACTCTAGGAAAAAAGTAAGAAATGAAACGTTAGAAACGTTTCTTTAAAGTTAAACAAATAAAAAACCCTCCACTTCCTAATTTACCTTTAAAGTCCAGTATGTACAAGAAATCCAGAAACCCTAGAAAAAGAATAAGAAATAAATCAAAAACATTCCTTTGAAGTCAATTAAAAAAATATATACTCACTATATGAAACCAAACAAAAAAAGAGATTATCAGGTAATCATGTTTATCATAAACTTATTATGATTATTACACTTGTTTATTTTTGAAGTAGCACGAAATTTCAATAACACAATCTGTGCAGACCAATCAGAAATGACGCATGCGAACAAACGAACATTGCCACGTGATCCAATATGTCATTAAGGTTCATAAACATATATAGTCCTTCACTTCGCTCCAGACAATTAAACAATTATGTATTAAACAATGTATCAAAATTATCTGATCAGATGTGTTGTATAGTGCTGTACATCGGCATATACTTCCAAACATGAATAAAGAATTTCACTTGATAAAACTATTACTTTTTAACTTTAAAATAAAAACTTTATTTATTCCCTTACTACAAGAACATTGACCTATATTTATAATAAATTATATATATACTGATAAATTCAACATGTTTAATATATCTATTATGACTAACATGTTTAATATGTTGATCATGTCCAACATGTTAATTAGGTTTGACATGTTAATCATGTTTGGCATATTAATTATGTTTGATATGTTAATCATGTTAAACATTTGCAACATCGATCAATTTCAGAGTGGTATATAATGATCACATGACAATAGACATGTTTTCGGCTTATATAGTATTTTTTGCAGAATATTATTGGTGCAAACTGGTATAAGTGAGGACAAGAATTTAGTTCCAAAGGAACCCTGAAGCAGGGTATATGTGAGAAATTATTCTGTTTTACAAGAAACCTGCTGTGCGATCAGTCACATTGCATCATAGGTGCAACAATCGCCTAATCATTATGCCCCACCAACTGTAATCACTTATCACCTGACGTTTTTTTATATAGGCTAGATTGGTTCAGATAAAAATGTTAGATTTATAGTATCCTGATATTACATGGACTGCATCATTACATGTGATCCATTTCTCTGTCATGTACTGGTAAAATAATACTTTATTTATAAAATAAAAAACGTTGCTGGAAGTTGGTCTATAATACATAAAATTTAGCCGTTAAGGCACTTCGCACTCGTGGTTAAGGCCTATCACTATTACATGATGTGAATAAAAAAATCTAATTATCTTTGTTTAATACCTCTGGCATCCTTTCAGCGGGAGGGTACACGATAACATTGATTTTCTTTTCACTACCAAAGATACGTTGGAGTTGTATAGGAAAATGAGTAAAAATGGTGTCTTGCAATTCCATTCTTATTGCACCTTCTATTTCAAATTCACTGATGTTTAAGTCATTGATTATGATACTATCAGCTATAGATGCGACCCTATATAAAGCCGAATTGGTCAAATCTATACTTCTCAGTAGAATTAAAAAGTCAATGTTAAAATATTATGGCATAGCCAAAAATAATTACATCAGTACAAATGTTTACTAATAAAACATATAATTACAGTGAATTACGGCATTTTAATTACGTCTGTCATAATTCAAAAATTCAATTCTGCTGATAAGTATAGTCAAATCTATATCTTGAAATCGATCTAGATGACAGGTTCTGATTGCCTTTGTAAGAGAAGAGACTCTATTGTTGTTAGCGTTAGATATTGTTACTTCAAAAATATTGTTCACTTCCTCATCAGAAATGAGACAGTTGAGAGTAATATCTCCACAGCGAGAAGCTTGTCAAGCTTGTCAGGAGTTTTAGTCTTATCAGATTCCTTGGTTTTATCAGACATCTTGCTTTCTTAAATACAAGACCCATAGTGAGAAAAATTCGTTTGGTCCCAGAGGGACCCTCCCATACATACATAATTTAAGGCATATACATACCTTATTTTGCATTATTTTTACAAGAATATTTTTGCGAAAAGTTGGCTGAACTTTCACATACCTCAACATGCTTTATATATTGCTGGAAAAAAGTTAAGGAGGTATGAAGTATAATTAGTATTATCGTCTGATGCCAAGAGTCCCTTGAAAGCACATGTAAACAGAATCCTCTTACCTTTTTATATGGAGATCTACCAGAAAGACGCAAAGATAGTTAGTTCTTGTAGATCTTGAAATCCTAAAATCCTCAGCTTTTTATAACATATACAGTCAACTCTCGATATACCGAAGTCGCCGTTCAAGACTAAAACTTCGGTATATAGTGATCTTTGGTATATCAAATTTTTTTATATACCGAAGTTTATATANGCTGTTCCTTCAAGTCCAGGAAACACGTCAAAAAGTCCATTCCTACAAAAAGAAAAAGAAAAGAGCATTATTAAACGTTCTTATATTAAGAATACCCCCTCCCCTTCGAAATACTATACCTCCAAGTCCAGAAAATGCGCTGAAAAGAACGTTCCTAAGAGAAAAGAAAAGAACGTTATTAAATGTTCTTATATTAATATATTAAAAAAACCTCTCTTCTAACATTGCCGTTCCTGAATATCTACAGTAGGTCAGTAATGCCAAGCAACTGAAACCTAAAATAAAAAAAATAAAATTAAGTTAATAAAAGAAAAATACATAAGATAATAAAAGAAAAAAAAATAGACTTACCGTTACCGTCCAAGAATCGGAAAAAAAGATACTGTACTTGTTCGTCAATTCACAAGACTAAAGGTATTAAAAAAAATATTTTTTTATAAAAAAAAGAGATTATCAGCCGATTAGATCGGTAAAATCAGATCGGCTACTGCAGGTTGGACAATATTACATCGGAAATGCCGAAACTATATATATGTATATCATATGATATACTGCGCCAAAACGCTAAAACAGTTTCGGCAGTTTCGGCAGTTTTGGCATTTCAGCATTTTTGATTGTTTGCCGAAACCTAATTTTGGCAGTTTCGGCAATTTCGGCATGCCGAAACTTCCTAGTTTCGGCAAGCAACCTTAATTATATTAAAAATTTCTTTTTTTAGCTACGTGGTAATATATTCAATTATGGTTACACAAAATTATTTTAATTAATGATCGACAAGAGAAATGACGTTTCCACTGACTGATAAGTCTATTAACAAGTATGATATTTAATATTAATATTGTAACTAATATAAAAGAATAATTGTCATATATTACAAAATTATTATTTTTTTACATTTCATTGTAATATGATATTTTAAATTATAATAGTAATTATATTGTCAATTATTACAAAATATACATTACAGGATTATTATATGGTAATCAAAAAAATAGGATAGCTAAGAAAATCCATTAATAATGTCCTTAAATAAAAAATAACGTCAAAACAAAAAAGAGAAAAGAACTCAAATCCACTTGTAACTTTAAGGTTTCTTGAAGTTCAAGTTCATTCTAAAAAAAAAGAATATTAGTAAGGTTTATAGACAAAAAAAATGCAAAAATAGTAAAAAGAAATTAAGAAATAATACCTTTATACATTCTCCATACAGTCAACTCTCGATATACTGAAGTCGCCGTTCAAGACTAAAACTTCGGTATATAGTGATCTTTGGTATATCAAATTTTTTTATATACCGAAGTTTATATAATTTTTTTAGAAAACTTTGTTATATTAAGATTAAAATCATGTGACTTTATTATACTATGAAAATCTTTACATATTTTACGTTTAACAAATTTTACAAATCACTTGTTTCTAATCCAATTATCTAACGTTCATATCTTTTAAAGAAGCTAAAGCAGCTAAATATTTAACTTCAAAGTAACGTTAATACTGAAAAATAAAAATGAGAGAATAAAGTTGTGAAAGTTACGCAAATTAAACATCATTTGATCATATTATTTTGATCTTCGGTATAACGAACTTTTTTTTATTATATACTATTATAAACGGTAAAAATGAAAACTTCGGTATAATGTTATATAAAATTTTATAGTAAAATCGGTATATCAAAAGATTTTAATTATTAATGAAAATGGTTATACAAAAATCTTCGGTATATGGTGATCTTTGGTATATCGTGGCTTCGGTATATCGAGAGTATACTGTATATGCTTTTGCTGTCAGTATTTACTTTTACAGTAAGTCCTGTGTTGCAACTAGACCTCTTTTCACATTTTCTCACATTTGTTTAGGGAAAAATAAAGAGCAAAAGTTAATAATATCACTGGTCAAAATTATTACTATCAGGTACTTATCGGGTACCTGATATGTGTACAATATATGTGATATATGTGTATGATATTTAATAATGCTACATATATCAGGTACCCGATATGTGTAGTAGAAATGTAGAAAAACAGTGACACATCATGTAAATATCACATATACATCTTACACATATCGGGTAGTTAAATATCGGTCATATATCATAGACTTATTGGGTACCTAATATATTATGATATATATCTTTTTCAACTCCATTGCTACTTATACACATGGCATTATTCGGGATAATCCCTCTTCTTCTCATGCTGAAGCTGCTGCTATCTACGCAGTTTTAACCATCTCTTCTCGCGACTCAGAAGTTACTATTTATACTGATTCGCAAACTGCCATTGATGGCCTTCAAGGTTGTTCTTCTTCTGCCTATTTTAATAGCTGGCTTTATTATAAGACTATGAATTTTGAACTATGGGCTATTATTGAGCAAACCATTTTGTCCAAGAATTTGACTGTTTTTTCAGTCAAAGTCAAAGCCCACTCCAGCAACTATTTAAATGACTTTGCCGACTTCTTGGCCAATACTGCTCATACCTCTTCATCCAGTATTTTGATTTCTGGCTTGGATCTGGCCTCTGCCCATGATTTTGTCTTAACCTATGATAATGATGTCGTCTGCGAATCCAATCCGAGATATCTTCTCAAGTAATACTATCAAACGCAGTTGATGCGTGATTTATTACATTTAACGCGTTTTCACTTCACTTTTTTATTATCATCTAATATAGATTATATTGTTGATTGGGATCTTACTTGGTTTACTTTGAAATTTGAACCTTCTCATGACGCATCTTTTACTTATGAACATGCATCATGGCACCATACCTTCAAATTTAAACTTTTCTTGAATGAATTACCCACGTTGAAAAAGCTTAAAAAAGCATGCCCAGACTTATACATGGACGAATTAACTTGCCGTTCCTGTATCGACTGCATGGAAGACTTAATGCACCTTTTTATGTGCAAAAGATGTCGTTTGCCTATGCAACAAATTCTCCAATCTTATCAAAATCATTTGATTTCTAAAATTCAAGAAGCTGAAAATTTGGCTAACATTGATCCCACTCCGTTTATTACTAAACTCACCTCTCTTTCATGCCGGTCCTTTTCTTCTACAAATTGGTCTTCTTACGCTCTTGTCTGTGGTTGCTTACCTAAACACTTTGTCAACTTATTTATCGACTTGTCTAATTCTCGATATTCTGCGATAAAGGTTATCGCGGCTACTATCCATAACAATTTTGTTTAAAAATTTAGAAGACGAATTTGGAATCTGCGTTCTTATAACACTTATCAATGGAAACATGCGATGAATATTACTTATAAGTTGAAAACTACTTCGAGGCCATCTAATTTGCCACTGTCAAAGTATATACCCTACTCATCTTTACCACCACTGACTATATACGATTCACGTGACTCTAGAACCGATTGGTTGAAGAACTCGATGAAATATGGTTTGCCTTGGTTTAATCACTTTTTGGGTTTTATAGGTCGTCTAACGGTGCTACTTAATAACAGCTTTTAGCAGGATGGAGTGTCAGGACCCTGAAAAATACATAAAAAGGTCACATTTGAGTTTGCTTAAAAAGAATCTAAATTTTTATGAAAATCTTGCCTTTTTTAGATAGTACCGGCCTAAATTTTATTGTCCGTTTTGATACTGACCAGCATTATCATAATTCCGGCCCTGAAAAGTTGCTTATTTTAGGCCAAAATCTTGCCGATTATTTATGACCTCCATATGTATTTTTCAGGGTCCTGGAGTGTCGATTTTTATAGTGGATGCGCTATTCATTATTTTATTAGCATAGTTGCTTCTACTTTGGTTGAAATATATCAAGGGGAAAGATCTGGGAAAATTTAGTGTAATGCGATTTTTCTTTTTTTTAGATTAATTTTTTACTTTATTTTTTCTTAAGAGACTATATAGCTTTGTTTTTAGTTAGTTTTATTTGTTTATTTTTCCTTTTATTTTGTTTATAAATTGTAATGTTCGAATAAATTTAATAAAGATAAAGGCTACTATGCCACATTTGCCTATGATATATATCATATACATACTCTCTCCTGAAAATCTTCAGACCGAAATTTTTCTGATAAAAAATTTTTCAAAAACAATACAAACTACTAATAAAAATTTATATTCTCAACCTAAAGTTCTCTACTATATCTGGTAACTATACCAAGAGAGGCCATGGAAATCATAACCCCGTCAGTAATTTTTTTAGGGTACGGATCCTCAAAGATTCTGAAAATCTCATAATTAATGAGGATCCTTAAGAAATCTTTCCCACCCACGAGGATTCCATAATGAAAATAATTTTAGAAAACCTTAAGGGTTTTATAATTACCAATAAAGAATCCTTAAGGACTTATTTTATATTATATTTTAATGATTTATTTTAACGTATCATTTATTATAAATTTAATTACATTATCGTTTAAAATCTACATAATATTAATGCTATAGCTTATAATTAATTGAACTCTTCTAATTTTATTATCCAAATATCTAATTAAAGCTAATTTCTAAAGAATTGTTATCAATTCGTTGATATTTATGATTTTGATTGTCGATATTATTAATTTCACGACTCCTTTTTTGGTTTTCATTTATCATATCATCGTTATCTTCATTAGAATTGTCTAAATCTTCATTGTTATCCAAATTATCACCTGAACTTTCGTTACCATCCGATTCTTCAGAAGTATTAAGATAATTTTCTCCTAACTTTTCTTGTCTAATGGATTTAATTGTACTTGAAGTTATTTCTTCTGAATTACAAATACAGCTCTATTATTTGATATTTAAGTAAATAATAATTAAAAAAATTCAAAAATAAAAAATTAAATCCACCCAATATATATTAAAACGATTATGAAGAGCATTGTCACTAACAGAAATTTTTGGGTGTTTTGGATTAAGTACAATTTCACAAATGGCCAAAGTGAAAGCAGTATCTTTTTTTGTTGTATTCTTTTTTCCCCAGGCCTTTTTCTTAATTGCCTCAACGTATGGAAGGTTATTATCATCATCAGCTTTAAATAAACATTTAAATGCTTGCTTTGTCTTTTTAGAATTTTTAAATGCGCGAATATCATCAACCCCCGCCGAAGTGTTAATACGTGTTAAATTCTTTTTGCCAAATATATCAAACATCGCAGATCTAACGTCCTTAGCCTTATCACATCGACAAGCTTTAATTACTTCATGACACTAATAAAACATATATTAGTAAATAATATAATAATTAAATAACAATAAATAAAAATAAACAAAGAAACTTATAACTTACTAAAGGTCCAATACGCCCAGAATAGATATGTATCCATTGAGTTCCATGTCGTTCAACTTATCCTGGCTTTTCTTGTTCAAGTGTTCCTTTAACACACTTTTTAAACTCTATGTCATCAGGGAATAACCCAAGAAGAGGCAGCTGAATCTTACATATTCTTGATGCTAAATTCTACAATAAAGTAATAACATAAATAATTTCATATAAATAAATTCACATAACGATAATAATTAATAAACTTACCTTCCAATAAGAATCGTCAGGAATCATAAGTTGATCGATTTTTTCTGAAATATCATCTATTTTTTTCTGAACTTCTTTTTGAAACGACTTATGCATCACTTTAGTCTCGTGAATTGCTTTAAATATCTCCTTGTTTTGTTCTAAAGATCTTTTCAATCCATCAATCAGCTGTTGGTAAAATATGATGTTTGCTGTAATGATAATATATTAATTTCATGAGGTAAGGTTACAATCAATACAAATATTTTTATACCATCCGATGCATCCGATGATCGTATAACGGATGTATCTGATGCAGCATTGGAAAGAGCTGTAAATGCAGCTTTATCAGAATTATCGATTGAATCATGTTGATCTTGTGTATCTAAAGTTGCCTGCCAAAACTCAATAGGCCAATGTCGAAATGTCGAAATTAAAATATGTCGAAATGCCGAATTGTCGAAATAGTTTCGACATGTCGAAATTGTCGAAATGTCGAAACTAGTTTCGGCATGTCGAAATTGCCGAAATTGTACGAAATTGCTGAAATAGTTTCGACATGTCAAAATTATCGAAACTAAATTTACTAATAAATTAACTTTATTTATATTATAAATTTATTATACGGCTAATACAAATTTATTTAATGAAAAAAAATATAAAAATTTTTATTATATTACTAATTAATTATAGATTATTTAATTATTTATTGATGTACAATGAATTAAGTTTTAGAACGATGTCTGACAACCCTATAAAAAAGAATAAAAAGAAATATTAATAATATTTCTTAAATAAAAAATACGAAAAAACCCTTTCTGGTTCCTTTTTACCTAATTTAAAGTTTGGTTGTAATATTTGTCTAGTAACCCTACAAAAAGGAAAAAGAGACGTTATTAACGTTCATATACAATAAAAAAAAACTTATAAAATACGTTTTCTAACCTACCATTTCGTGAATTTCAAATACAAAAACTGTTCCTAAAGAAAAATAAAAAAAGAAAAAGGAACATTAGTTACGTTCTTACAATAAGAAAAATACAACTTCCCCTTCTATAACTTACCATTTCGTCATTTCAAGACAGGAGCCGTTCTTATTTCCTAGAGAAAAAAGAGGAACGTTAGTAATGTTCCAAAAATAAAATAAAATACATTATCCCCTCCCAACTTACATTTCCAGTATTCCAGTTCAAAATCTTAAGTCCGGAAGCTTTATTTAACAAAAAATAATCGGTTTAAAACTGTTTTCTTTAAACAAAATTTTTTTAAAAATAAAAGACTAACAGTTTAAAACCCATTTTAAAAAAATAAAAAATAACGGTTCAAAGAACCGGTCTTCTTTTTAAAAAAATAAAATAATTTAAATGAAATAATAAAATAATAGTTTTAAAAACTCAAAAAATAAAAAGATCGATTATCAATTTTATCAATTGATCGATAAATCAGTTCAGAATTCGTATAACTGATATATACTGACATACGTTTATTATAATTTTTTACTTCGTAGTAATTGTCTAGTACCCACATTTTTTAAGAATCGAAGAAATAAAAAAGTGAAATAAAAAAATTCAGTTTAAAAGAACTGAAAGAGAATTTATTTTTAATAAAAAAAATGTTTTCCAAAAAAAACTGAAAGATATTGTGAATAATATATCAGACTTCATGTTTGATAACGGTAAAATTTTTTAGCCTTTATATTTAATACTTGTTTTATTAATAAGCAATTTCTAAGTTGATTCTATTATTTTTTTTTAAACAGAATAAATCATCTAACCTCGATAATTAGTGTAAGTGATGATTTATTGTTGGTTTATATTTTATACACAATTAATTTCGATTACATGTATACTAATTATTGTAAATGTTTAACGATTTTACAATTATCATTACTATTATTACTATTATTACTATTAACAATATAATTATCGTTAATTCTCAAACTCTTCTGCCAAATCATCAACATTAAAATTTAATATACCCCTCCCCACTACCTCATTATCATCTTGATTATTTCCATTCACATTACCATTTATTTCATCTTCCTCCTCTTCTGGAAACTCTCCAAAATTTTCTAATCCACTTAAAATTCTTGGGTTGAACAGATCTAATGTATTTTCGATCCATACCATTACTTTATGATTTGGAATTATGTGTCCATCGGTTGTTCTTTGTACACCTTGATTCTCTTCTAGCATGGTTTCATCATCATCTTCTTCAAGCTCTGGCCGTTCTGCTAAGGTTTCATTTATAATATTATTTAATTCGCTATCACTAAATTTCTGCGAATTTTTTTTAATACCTTTTCCATAAAAAGCTAGTTCGTGAGATGCATTTGATCTATAATATGTTATTAATTTTAACATTGATTCTAATCGCTCTACACCAAGTTTGAGACGCCTTTTGTTTGAGAGCCAACCACAAATTGAAAATCCACGCTCACAGCTGGCACTATTAGGGCAGACCGAAAATAAGTGAATTGCAAGTTGTTGTAAATAAGGTGGTTCTAATTCTATACTTGACCACCACTTAATTGGGTTATCTATTCCCTCTGTATATGGTTGATCAAAAGGACTTTCTTTATTTTTATATTTCAATAAATGAGAGCAAAAAGTACGAGCTTTAGCCAAATCCATCCCTAATTTTTGTGCTATTACTCCAGCATATTTAACTATTCGCGTCCAAATTCCATGTTTAGGGGTTCAGCTAATTAAATATATTTAATTTTAGTATTATTTAATATTTTAATTATTATATAGTAAGTCAAAATAATAATAAATAAAATAAATCAATACTTCGGAAAAGAGGGTTCAAAAAAAATGCCAACAAGTAATCATTATCATCAAATTCGTTGAAACGTGCATTAATTTTTTTAATACAATAATTACGAAATTCTGAATAAAATTGACGTGGTAATTTTTTTATTGCAAGAGAAATTCGAGCTAATTCTAAGTAACAATCACTTAAATCTGCTTCTCTCCTTTCTAACGCTAATACAGCTTTACACAATGGATTTAGAACAAATCCAAGAACCTTCAACTCATTAAAAAAATTCCACGAACAAATGATAGGTTTAATTTTATCATTTGTTAATAAATCTGAGTGATTGGCTGCCATCTATAGAAAAATTTATTAATCATCATATAATAATAGTATAAATAATAAAATTAGGTTTACTTACATTTTCTAGAACAGCTTTCACTCTCAAAACATCGTCAATGCTTTTATAAGCAGTCGTCCATCTTGTTTTGCAGTAAAGCACGATCACACCACCTTTAATATTCATTGTGTTTAAAAGTTCCCGGAACTTAGCACCTAATTTTTTTTGTAAAAAAAAAAGAAATTCAATTTAGCAAATTATTAAAATAAAATTATTACATTTAGGTTTAAAAATTTTTACCTGCTCTAGCATTATTTCTAAAGAATGTTGCTAAAATATTCACTTTTTTTAGGAGCTTATCAGCAAATGGATGTTGAACTATGTCACATGACATTAAATTTATATAGTGTGAAATGCACCGAACATTCATTATGTTTGGAAATTTTTTTTCAGTTAATTCACGTGCTTTTCGAACATTAGATCCATTGTCACTGACAATAGCTGAAAATTTTGATACTCCAACTCGATTGATAACATCTTCAATCTTTTCCGCAATATATTCCCCTGTGTGTGAATCACTAGATAGATCAGAAAGTTGAAATATATATTCTTTCCTATTTGGAGTTAGTATAGTAAAATTCCATATAGATCTATGGTTAGGAGATGACCACCCGTCTAAAGCTAATATTAAAAATTAAATATAAATTAAATATATCAACAAATTTTCATCAAGAATTTTTTTTAAGTAAAATACCTAGTGTTAAATTGTCTGACATTTGCAATTCTTTATAAATTTTAGAATTAACATTCCCTAATTCATCTTCAAATAAGCGATTGGCCAATAGTTCCCGAGATGGAAGGTCATATGCAACATTAAGTTCATTGATAAAATCTATAAAAAATGGTAATTCTACTACACGAAAAGATATTCCACAACATACAAAGAACTTTAACAAAGCTCTGTTGATCCTATCAATTCTTCCTTGAGGAAGTGGTTCATCAGTATCGTGATAATCATATAAAGATGTTTGATTAGAAAATTTTCTTTTTTTATTATTATTGTCCGCTTTCTCTTCAAATACTTTTTGATACTTTCGAATTAAATGAGGTGGGGCATTAAGACAATGGTTTGCAATATGTCCCTATAATGTAGACACATCATCTCTGCTAAAAACTTTTTCACAAAATTTACAAGTTTCACTTGCATGCCCTTCTGAATCACGCTCGCCTTGCGTATAATGCTCCCATACTTCATTCTGCGGGCGGCCTCCTTTACGTTTATTAGTAGTCATTTTTATAGAAAATAAAAAAATTTTTTTTGTCAAAAAATGACGCGTTGTGAAAAACGGATTTTGGGATGACGATTTTTAATCTAATTAACATTGCAGAATTTTCTTAACCGAAAGAGATGATTAAAATAGTTGAAATTACACAGAACATCTCATGATAGGCAACCCTCATTATCTTTATACTTATAAGTTAAAATATCACTCTCGTGATATATAAAATAAGATTATGATCAACTAATAAAGTTTATAGGCAAATAGATTGATTATAATTTGTAACAACCCATACTAAATAGTATATATTTAAAATTTTCGTAAATATTTATGCAAATGACGTGCATTTTTTGCGAGAAGGGAAACCTTGGAAATAAGGAAATGGACGAACAGCTGACGGCCCATTCACACATTTATATTTTTTAAAAAAAAATACATAAAATCTTTTTTTTTATAAAACCCCTTAGTCAAATGAATTAACGAAAGCGAATATACAGCATTATGATACAAGTGACAATTTTATCTCCAAGAAGTTGTCACTACAAAAAAAATAAGGAAAGGACGTTAGCAAACGTTCTGTAACCAAAGAAAAGTAAAACCCCACACTTACATTTCACGTTCAAGTGTGCCGATTTCGTCTTCAAGAAGTTATTACTACAAAAAAATATATAGAACGTTAGTAAACATTCTATAACCAAAGATAATTAAAAAAATCCTCCATTTCACTCACCTTTCGTCTCCAAGTATCCAGATCTTTGTTCCTAAAGTACCAAAGACAAAGATCTAAAAAAGAAAGAAAGACATTAGCAACGAATTAGTATAGAAACGAAAGAAGCAACAAAAAAAGGCTTAAACTTTCTTTTTCAGGTGCCATTTCGTCTTAAGTTTGGTTTCGTCCAATACCAAGAAGCCCGGTATCTCTACAAACGAAAAAAAGAAAAAAAAGAAACGTTAAAAACGTTTCTTAAAACATATTATTTTTTTAAAAAAACCTTCCTTTTACCTGTCCGGCTTTCCGTAAATTCCAGTTTCGTCAATTTCAAGAAAGCTATAATATTTCATTTTTCGTTAGAAAATGTTTCTTTAGTTATATAAATTTAAAAAAAATACCGCTTACTTTAATGTCCATGTTGTCTATGCCCAAGTTTATTTTCATATCCAAGTTTTTCCAGTTCGGTGTCTACAAAATAAAAAGTTTTTTTTTTTATATTTTTTTTTTACATACTATTGATTATTGATGATCAGTATGACTGACCAATCCTAACCGAATAGAGTAATGCCGAAACTATATGTATATCATATGATATATTATGTCGAAACGCCGAAATGGTTTCGACATGTCGAAACTATTTCGGCATTTCGACAAATCGGAAGGCCATTGTCGAAATGTTGAAATGGTTTCGACAATTTCGACATGTCGAAATTCTATAGTTTCGGCAGGCAACTTTATGTGTATCACATATCTCAAGAGTATTATTTGGTTCAATAATAATCACTTCTTGTGTTTGATGATCGGTCTTCTTATTTTTTTATCTTGATCGTCTTGGTTGTTTTAACGAAGCCTTTGTAGATTTTGCTATATAATAAAAAAATTAATTTATTAAGTGTTTAAATTATATATATATAAATAATATTAATATATAGATTTACCAGCAAATAATTTTGCTGCAATTTTATCTGCTTCGCTTACTACTATTTCAGTATTAGCCACATTCTTAGGTTCTTGAGAATTTTGGCTTTGCTTGGTAGTTAAAGCTTTTCGTCTTACTATATAATTACGAATAGAATTTTTTATAAGAAAAAAAGGCTTCCCACGTTTCCCCTCTTATTCTCTTATTTTAAAATCACTTAAAATCCTCAGGCGTCAGATGGGCTGGAATTATTTTAGTTATTTAAAAAAATGGCAAGAGAAGGGTCCCTTGTGTACTCTCTACAGTCGGTCACGGAGTTTGCCCTTTGGCAAGTAGGAATCATTCTCTTTGGCATGGCGGAAAACAATACCAACCTTTATCTTTAGTCATAAAGAAATTATTGCGTGGGTAAGTTTTTTTTTCGGTTAAAATTTTTTCCGGATTAAAATTTTTTTTTTTGGAAAATAGTATAATTATGATATACTATTTATAATGACGTCTTACATATGAATTTTTTTATACTATTTTATCATAGTGACGTCTTACATTTTAAATTGTAATAATATCGTATTACATTTTTAATTGTAATAATATCGTATTACATTTTTAATTGTAATAATATCGTATTACATTTTTAATTGTAATAATTATCGTATCCCGTCTAATATCTAATCAAACCTCGTATTGATTTCTAATTAAAAATGAATCAATGTAGTCTTTGTGAGAGACGTTTTTCACGAAAAGCTGACCTAGCACAACATTATAATCAGCTTCATCCATACCTTAAACATTCATATACATCGAATTGGATCCAAAACCAACAACAGTTGAACTCTGTACCGCAAACACCACAATTTTCTATTAGTAATAATATTTGGAATGAAATCGGGGATTTGGGTGATTTTTTACAAGCTAAGGTAGGTATTATTTTTTATGATTATTAACGAATTCGACAACTTCTAATTACTATTTTTTATTTAAGATAAACCGAGATTATGATAAAAGAGAAGTTGATGATAATAGCGATAAATCAGAAGGGATGTGTGATGACAGATCAAAAAGAATGGATGATAGATCGAACGAAAACAATGATGATGGATCAGACGAAAAAAAACGTTGATGGCAGATCGAACGAAAACGTTGATGGTGGATCGAATGAAAACGTTGATAATGAAACTGACAGTGGAACCGATACTAATGTTGAAAATAATGGAAATAATAGAATTAATAAAAGTATGAAAGGTAATGAAGTTGATAGTGATGATGATGAGAGATTCAAATGGATAAATAATAATGAAAATGAAGATTTTTATAGAGTGGGTTTAAACGATGCATATGAAGACTTATGTAATAATAAAATTGATGTAATCGAGACATTATGGCCGAGCGAAGTATATAAAGAGTTCATGACAGCTGTCACACAACATCGTCTTTCAGATGCAGCTGCTGATTCTATGTTACGCATAATTCGAAAATATTGTACCGAACCTCTTCCTGGCTCCACTCGAAAAGGTAGAATGTATATGGATCAAATGAATATTAAAGATTTTAATATAAAAATGAAAGATATGGTTGAGTTTGAAGGAAAAATTTACAAACTTCAATATCGACCAATTATTGATGCTATTAAAAGTTTGTATCTAATCCCAACTTAAGTAAAAATTTCCTTTTTGATTATAAAGAACTGTAGGAACATGATGATGTAAGTAGAAATTATAAAAAACCAATAATACAGTAAATTATAATCCTATTTACTAATATTTGTATTTTATTTAAAAATGGAAATTTAGTTCGTGTTTACTCTGAACAGAATAGTGCAAATTGGTGGCGTGAAAGACAGAATTCATTTAGTAAGATTTTAGCGATCATGATCTATATTGATGGCACAACACTTGATTCTTTAGGAAGACAATCGGAATATCCAATCTTTTTAACTCTGGGTAATATTCCAAACTGGCGTCGGAATTCTCCTGATGCTAAAGCTTTAGTTGGTTTTCTTCCATATTTAATTACTCGTAATAATAAATTAAAAGGGTCCACAATATTTAGACAGATGCAACGAAAGCTAGAACAGCATTCTTTTGAATATTTATTAAGTCCACTACTTCAAAAAAATGGCATCTACTTAGCAATAAATGGAAGAATTGAACATTTTACTCTGCACTTATCTGCTATACTTGCAGACATGTCAGAAGCACAAAATATTTGTTGTACGTATAAATCATATCGTACACAATGTCTTTGCTATAAATGTCTTACACCTGGTGATCAATTAAATAATATGAATATTGAACAAAACTCCATTGTTTTACGTGATAATAATAATATGCGCGAAGCTATTCTTTCAAATAATGCTACTGAATGTTCTATTTATGAATATAATAATTTTTTTTGGAAATTTCAGACAAATATTTATGATGCGACAGCTATGGATCGTATGCATCTTCAGGAAATAGGTTTATGTCCATATATGCTTGATTACATCGGGAAAATTTTTAGGGGTTATATGTCAATGAAAAGATCACGTGATAAACATCGATAATAATCACACTCGTCGAGTAATATCGATATGGATAAACAGTGATAAAATATCACTATTTAGCCTAAATGATAAATATCGAATATCAACCAAAATTATAATTATCGTAATTTAACCCACATGATAAACATTGATAATATTTTTATTAGATAATTGTCGAGAATAACCATTGCATTTATTAACGTTATATTTATAAATGATTATAGCAATAAAATTTAATAATACTAAATAATTGGAATAATTCATTACTATTTATCGGATCAAAATATAAGCATAAATGTATTAATAAAAAAAAAGATTAATAGCGAAAAAAATTCGGTAACCTTTTGTTTTATCTCTGATGGTTCCTTTGGTTGCATGTTTTGACTTAAATGGCTTATTGGATTGTTTTAACGAGCCAGCTCTATGATGAAATGGTTTTTCGGTAGGCATTTTAACGATATTAAATTCTATACGAATATTAGATCTAATATATATAATGTTCAAATTACTTCTTGGATGAGTGCCAAGTGCCACCTTTTTTATAATTATATTCAATGATTTCGATCGTGACACACATCGGAATCTTTTATTATAAATCATAAACACTATTAATTAAATAATAAAAGCTTCGTATGAATATTTAATTGTATAACATTACCTTTCTCATCTTAATTTTCCTCGAACAATGCATCAAAATATTGTTCTTGATCTCTCTCTTCTTCATCTTCTGCATTAACGTCGCCTTTTTCTTCTTCATCTTTTTTCTTCTTCATAGTTTCAGGAGCTTCTTCTTGCATTACCGACGCAGAATCACTAAGTTTAATAGATCCGTTATTTGTGAGTAATTCCTAAAATGTTGATTTAAATAAATTTCAACAATTTTGATAATTTCAATTTTTTAATCAATAGTAAAAAAAATTACCTTGAATTTTTGGAGGCGTCTCTCCAAGGGTTTTTTTGCACATTCTATGTCCGGATAGCCTGGATTTAAAATGATATTACAGACCGCCACCGTGTATATGTAAACACCTTTGTATGATTCATCATCTCTCGATATAGTGGAGAAAGCTAGATTGGCGATATTTTCTATCACATTTTCATTATCATCATATAACATTCCTTAACTCTTTTTGATTTTTTCCATTCTGAGATGTTAATGAAATTACACTTTTTCCTGTTGTTAGGTATCTGCAATCTGAGTTCTTTGAAAATCGAATTTCGGACCGTGGCAGCATAGGTACCCCTCAAATCTTTCATTTTGTGCAAAAGCTAATTATTGGTTATTATTGGTAATAAAATTTATAATTTATAATGATAATAGATGATTATTACCATAGAATGGTGCTGCCCGGTAAATAAGTTTGTCCACTTTTGCTCTCCAAGTTCCTTAAGGTAATTTGGATGATTTTTATTAAGCCAATTTTCCAATCCAACTTTATAATCATTGAAATTTGGCCACAAATTATCTGGAAAAAAACTTCTGCACAATTGGCTATAACCTTCCTATATTTGTTATTAATATACAATGAAAATTATCAATGGTAATCTAAAAATGGTATGATACTGAAAATATAGAATTACTCACCATGAAGACCTTCTGGTCTAAATCGATATCATCTTTTTTATTAGGTTGTGATTTTAGTTGATTTTGAACCCATGTCAATTTTTCATTTGTGGATTTTTGTAGCTCGTATAGAACTCGAATTTGTTTCCCCTGCTTCACTAAGATTTCCTGAATATTTTTGTTCTGCTTAACTAAAATTTCTTCCCATTTATTGGGATGATAATTGGACATTATACATCTTTGTTTGTCTATTGGATTTTCAACTTCGATAATTGGCACGTTCAAACGTCGTGATGTATGAGTGGATGGACTTGTCGAAGAATCTGGAGTGGTTGAATGACTAGGACGTGAATTAATGATGATTGTGGTCCCAGCAGTGGTTTCAGAACCTGTTAAGGTTGTTGCAGTATCATCGTCATGATTATAGTCTGGTAAATTATAGTAGGATAATTTTTAGTAAATCATGATGGATATTTTGACCATTATAATTATAAACGTTATAAACATCATAATCAAACCACTTACTTCGTTTCAATTTTTTACTATATGTAGAAGNGTATAACCTTTTACACTATAAACGAATTCCTTATTTTAAGCGTGTCTTGTTTGATTGGATTTCAGTCATAGTTAAACGTACTTAATCTCCCTGACTGCAAATCATAGTTAATCTATTCAATGTATCGAATCGGTTAACACCATATACTTAACAGTTATATAAAAAAAACTTATCACGGAATTACATTTACTTTTTTTTAATTTATAAAGAATTTTACCTTATGAATTCAACCAGTTTTTTTTGACTTTTCTATGTAATTTTTACCTTAGGCTTGTGGGTGATCTCTATTAGAAGTAAGCGGGGTCCTGCTGAAGCCTAAAAGAGTTAGAATGATAGAATGAATGAAAAAAATGACAAAATGAAAAAAATGAAAAATGTATTTTATTTATAACTGAAGAGCTGAAATATTGAAAATCCCGGATCTGAAAAAAAAGAGTTAAGAAAAAAAAGTACCTTAGAATCTTGAAACCTTATAACCAAAATATCAAGATGCCAAAGTTACTGAAGAATTGGAATCTATTGAATAAAACATAAAAAACAAAATTAAAAGCCTTTGGTAAATTATATAATGTTTGCTTTTCTTAATTTTTTTGAGATGTTAAATGAGTTTAAATTTTTTATATTATAGCTTTCCATTATCCTTATGCACTTGCATTTGAACCATGAAGTGTGTCATGTCTGAGAGGAAAGAATAGTTAGAACAAATGAAAAAAAAAGAAACAAGAAAAAAAAAAATGAAAAAAAAGATGCACCCTAGAACTGAAGAGCTGAAATGCTGAAGAGCTGGGACCTAAGAGAAAAAGAAGTTAAAATGAAGTTAAAGCAAAGGAGTGCAAAAATAAGAACCCACCTGTATGTGAAACTGAAATGGCAAGGCACAGATATTACATATATATAATTAAAATTTTACTTTATATATGTTTTTAAGTTTTAAATATTAACTGTTAATGTAGTTAACAGGTGAATCCTAGTTTCTATTAAAATGTATGATATTTAATGATATTTATTTTTTTAAAAAATAAATATTTTAATATAAATAATAAAATAAAGTTAATCCTATATTTTATTTGCGTAATGCTTAACAAAAAAAATAGATAAATAAATAAATAAATAATAATGATAATAATAATAAAGAAAAAAAGTTCTGGAGCTCGTGAGCCAGCTTATAGCTTGTGAGCCAACTTGAACAAGCTGTATCAAAGCTCAGCTCAAATGAGCTGAACCAAATTGATTATGAGCTGTAGCTCAGCTTGCCTAGCTCACGAGCTGGCTCAAGCTGAACTGGCTCATGTGGAGCACTAGAAATATCCACCTTTTGACCCAATAAAATTTTTGGACCTTTTAGGTTGTAATTACTTTGTATTATAATATGTCTTATGATGGATTATTTGTAACATAATACATATTGTTTGATTTAATTTATTAAATTCAGTGGTTTTTTGCTTAAGAGTAAAGTAAAATTCTCTGAATACAATCAGGTCTATATTATAAAGTAAAATTGGTGTTATTATGTCTTTAGCTTAATTAATACTCATTTTACAGAATTCACGATCATTATAAAGAAGAATACTTTCTTTATCATTAAGCTTTATTTTCATAATCTTCCTTAATTAATCTACTTGCTTTCCATGCAACCATAGCAGTGGGGGCATTAAGATTACCAGCCGGAATAGTTGGAAAGATTGAAGCATCAACAACTCGAAGATTTTTGGTTCCATAAACTTGAAGACGATGATTAATACATCCTCCTTGAGATTCTGGTGCCATCTTTACAGTACCACATGGATGATATGATGTGAATGACTAGAATGAGAGAAAAAAGTCATTGTAAAACCTCAACTCATCTGCTCCATTAGTTTATTAATCAAATTTATCGAACCTTACCATTTTACGAATATATTGTTCCCAATCTTCATCGCTCATCTCTTTATCTATACCAAATCCAACTTCTTTCACACCCCAAACGGTACTTAATGGAGGTTGTTTAAGTATTTCACGTGACAGTTTAAGACTGCTCATCATATTATACAAATCATCAGGTTTTTCATAAAAATTAAGAAATATTTTTGGATGTATAAATGGATTAGAGCTACGTAATTCTAAATGACCAACACTTGATGGGAGATTAAGAACCGATATCAAAGTAAGGATTTCATTTTTTCCTGGTTCAATAAGAGCAGGTCCGAATTGAGTTGTGCTCGCTACAAAATTATAAATTGATTTTAAAAGCATTTTATAATATTAAATTATTAATAATATTTTTTAAAAAATAGTATTTCAGATATTAACTTACCATAAAATTGAATATTAGGACGTTCATCAAGGAAATGTTTTTGGCTAGGAACTTTTCCATTAATATCACTTTTATAAAACATTCCAAGCTCAAGACCATTACTTGAATAATGTAATTGAGAAGCACTTGTACAATTCGGAACAGAAACTTTGGCAGTGATGCAACATTCAGGGTGTTCCAATAAATTACGTCCGACTGGTAATTCTTTACGAACTTTGATATTATTTTCTTCTAAATTACTTTTTGGTCCAATTCCAGAGAGCATTAAAATCTTAAAATTATCAAATACCACCATCAGTTCATTGTCTTATTGAAAATCTATCATTTCATTTCATTTTTTTTTAAAAAAAATTACCTGAGGACTATTAATAGCACCACCACAAATAATCACTTCGCCCTTTGGAGCAATAAAAGATTCATGGACTCTACCATCATAAAAATATTTCACGCCAATTGCAACATTTTCATCTTTCTTTTCTTCATCCCAAATAATATTTAACATGTGGGCAAAAGATTTAACATTAACTGCCACGAATTTTGCAGCATCATCGCTTAATCCGTGAGGAGACCCTATTTCGAATGGTTTTGAAGGGGGATAAGTCTCAACTTTTTTTAATGCATCTGTTAAATAACCATCAGCCAATGAAAAGCGCTTTCCATCTTTCATCGTATGCTACATATTAAATTGATCAATAAATTAAAAAGAACACGTTTAAAATTAGCTTGGAACTTATTTACCTGATATTCTCCTACTCCATTTTGTTTAACGCCATTAAAATCATTATTATAAGGAATTCCAAGATTGTTTGCGATCTTATAAATATCTTTTAGAATATCATAGTTGTCATTTGAACTATCTTGTACGTTAAGTAAACCATTGAACCCATGATATTTTTTAAATTCTTCATCAGGACTTTTACGCGCATTGTTTTCAACTGCTTTAAAAGCTATTATTAAATAAAAGATTTAAAATAGAGTAATAATATTAAAATTTCCATAAATAAAATAAATATATATATAATACATAGTATGTGATACTAACCTTCAAGACAATGATCATAATCCCAAATTTTATATTCAGGACCTTGAGTAGCCCAAAAATCGTAATCAGCTTTTTGACCTCGTCTAAAGAAATCGTAACATTTAAAGTAAGAATATAAAACTGAAATTTTCGTACTATACATTCAATCTCAACAAGAAAAAGAGATTTTAAACAGCTTTCAAATTTGAAGTACTTAAAAAAAAATTTACATATAAATCATTCCATTCACAGTGCTGCATCCTCCAATAACTTTGGCACGTGCATAAGGAAATCCTTTATTCAATACTTCTTTAGTAGGGTCAACAATACTGGACATTTTTTGATCTTCTGTAGAATATCCCCAATCTGTTTCACTTGTTCGATGAACCTATTTATATAAAATCATCAATGAAAGGATTTTATAAACAATTAACTTCATAATATCAAAACAACGAAACATACCGAAGGAAAAGCACATGGTGAACGCATTATATCATTAACTTGCGTATTTGGTGGACCAGCTTCTAATACCAAAATATTAATGTTGGGAATATTATAAATCAATTCTCTCGCTAATACACATCCTGCAGTTCCAGCTCCAACAATAATAAAATCATAAAATTCATTGGTCTTTTTAAATATTTGTTGTTGATCTCGGATGTGGATGCTCTCTAACCAAAGGTTACGAATTTCAGCATCATCTTTTAATTCTTTATCTAATTTCAAATTGGATGACATTTTTTTATAAAAAAAAATCAAATAAGAAAGAAAATCAAATAAGAAAAGAAAATCAAATATTTTTTTTTTTCAATGTTAGAAATATAACGATAAAATATGAATCAATATCTATTTATATAATTTTAAGTACTTGCTTTCGTAGACGGAATACTTTGTTTGTACAAATCAAGTATTTTTTCTTGTTGATAATTAATAGCGTTAGATAAAGGAATCAATTGCTAATCATATTAGGAAATTGGCGAATTTATTTATAGAATAACTTGGTTTTTGAAAAGTCTGGTACAGATTTTTATAAATAGTAGATACTGTTGTATAATTGATTTAATCAAAACTCAAACTTGAATGTTAAGAGTAATATTTTCACCATATAAAGATTCTACTAATGAAATGGTTTATGCTGATGAGCAAAATTACTAAACTTTTTTTTGCCTTTTTTTTTTTTTTTTTTTTTGAGCATATCCATCACACTTTATTGAATAGAAAAAAAAAATTTTTACAGGATCTGTAGTTTGATTTATGGCTATACATTATAATGTAATGCAACAATGCTAAACTACACAAACTAACCTAAAAGTAAAAACTAGTAGGCCCGTCGGCTCAAAAAAGGGGGGTATAGGGAAAACGAAGGGGAAAGGAAAAAAAAAAATAAAACTAACCCAAAAGGGCTAACAAACACAAAAAAAAATTTTAAGGAGTAAAAAAAATGAACATCTAAAAATTATAAAAATAAATTTTGTATCGTTTAACCACTCTTTTTACCCACGTATTCTAAAACCTAAATTAACTAACTTAGATTAATTTATATAATTTCCGCTAAGACCTTAGATCTCGACGCTTTACGGGACTTGTCTTTACTAAACTTTTTTTTGCATGTATATGGTGCCAAATTAGGAATGCCATTCCATATTGCTAAATTACTAAATTAGGCATGTCATCAAATTTCGGTTTGCTAAAATAAAAGATTTATTTGCTGTATATTTTGCCGAATTAGTCCGCCCTATAAAAAATTTTTTAGAAAATTTTTTCACACATCAGAGTTATTTGGAATGAATTTTACCCAGAAAATTTTTTATAGAGTCATAGTGAAATAAATGTTACAGCATCATGCAGTCCTGCAAGGACCGATTCGAAGATCAGTCTGGATAGGGTTAATCCGTAGATGCAGAATTGTCGCTTAATTGTTAAGTGATCGGTCCACAAATTTATATAGCAGAGTAAGCAGACAAATCTGCGCCTAGTTTAATAAAATTTACCGCTTATTTTGCACCTATTATGTAACCAATAGCATTTAATAAGCATGTAATTCTAATAAAAGCGTTTACTTTATACATCTAATTTTTTTAATTTTTTGTGAATGTGATAAACTAATAAACGTGATTGCTAACTTTTTAATCATAATAAAATTCTACTAGTTCGTGTATAACATTGTATACTATTTTACTAAATAATACTAATACAGCCATAGTTTAACTTTTAAACTTTTACCTTTATTCTTACTTTCCCTTTCCTTCGTCCTTTCTCTTTCCTTTTAGAGCTTGGAACCAGTCCAAAAAACCTTAACCGGTTAACCGTCTTAACCGGTTCCAAACTCTAGTTTAGTAACGTTTCAGTTTTACTTCTACCCTGTAAAAAAAGTCTAAATAATTTCTTATTTTTTTTGTTAAAATATTTTATTTCATATAATGTTAGACATTTTTCTCTTGTAACTCTTATTACGGCACTCCAGTCTCTTTGCATGCAGGATTATGGTAAGTTGTTAACTTTTTTTTACTTTTAAAAAATGAAACATCTTTTACTTATAATTCGTTCTTTTATTTATTATAGTTTGGTGGCTGGTTCTTTGGGGACTCTGGATGCTGGATTGAAAAAAAGTACTTCATATTTTTTAATTAACATTTTTTATTATATTTACTAACAATATCTTCATTTTCTTTTCTTTTGTAGGTCTTGTAAAGTTTTGGTTGTAGATCTGAATTTCGATAAGTGGATTGATTGTTCATTAACATTATTTTTTCCAATGAAATGTTACTAATGACTTTTAGGACGCGGATTTTGGCGAGTTTTTTCTTTGTTTTTTTTTCTCTTTAATTCATTTACTTTTAACAAACTGTTATTAACTGTTCTTTTCTTTTTCTTAGACAGCCAGTTCCGATTTTTTAAGTTATTGAAACATTTTGAAAATTTTTTTAAAAAAAATCATTTTTTTATATTTTGTATGGATCATTGGGTAAGTTTCGAAGTTGGACTTCAAGACTTCACTTTTTAAAGAAATATTTATTAACGTTAAGGTTTCTTTTTTTTCTCTTTTTGTAGGATTTGGACTTTTGTGAAAATGGCAAGTTACGCTGTTCTAAACCTTAATTTTTTTTCCTAATTAGAACATTGGCTAATGTTTCTTTTTTTTCTTTTGTAGTTTCGACCTTTGGAATTTTAAAAACGTATAGTAAGTTTCGGAGTTACAGTCAGAACTCGATATAACGAACCCTCCGTTCAGATAATTTTAGGTCGTTATACTGAGAGTTCGGTAAAATAAATATTATTGTTATACCAAACTTATTAATATGTAAATTTTTTATAATTCGGTTTATCAATTTCTTTATAATAGACGCTTTATTTACTGATCATAAAACTTGAGCTACAGATAAAGTAACAATAAATTGTCACGAATTTATTATCAAAGTCGTTACAATTTTTTTCAAAAAAAAAATTTAAAATAATTATTAAACTTCGTAATCATTTAGTAGCAAATGTATTGTACAGTATAAATAATTAATAAATTTAATCAATATATTGTAAAATCTCAAATATCTTTATTAAAACTACATTAGTAAATATACTAGGAAAACGGAATCCTTCGCGTTGCAAATGTTATTTGTCATATTTCAGGGGTCAAATAGGTAGTGTTATATAAATCGTGATACATATTCAAAAAAAGGAAATAAAATTGTCGATTGTGACAGGGACAAAAAACGGGGTTAAAACAAATTTAGTACAGTAAATAGTCCTTCGCTAACGCTTTGGTCAATAATTAATATTTGTATTGAAGCAATATTATATATTTATATAACTCCCAAATTCGTGACTATCCGTCACTGATGCAAATGTATCGTTCTTATACGATCAGGTGCTATGTTCTTATACGACGTATATGTCACATAATATAGGTCGTATAAGATAGTATGTCGTACACGTATAAGAACGATACATTTGCGTCACTGATGTACCATATCGCTTTATAGGATAGATCGTCCCTATATCTCAAAGTTTAATTCAGCACCCTCGCCATTCAATAAAACCTGAAGGTGAAACTACAAAAAAAACAAGAAACAGTTAATAATCTGTTTCATTAACTAAGAAAATCAAAGTTTCGAAGTTCAAATAGCTCGAAACTTACTCAGCCTATCTATTAGTATTATAGAAATAAAGCTGAGCCCTAAAAAAAATTGTTAGAACAGTAAGTAAACCTCTTTCAATTTGATAAAAATTCAAAGTTTCAAAATACAGTCAGAACTCGATATAACGATTCGGGATAAACCGATTTTGACTCACCGATTTTTTTTCTCAAACTAAATCCACGTATAATTAATTTTAATACTATATACCGATTTTATTATAAATTTCGCGATATAGCTAACTGACGTTAAGCTGTAAACCAGTTATATTGTATTATTCGATACCTCTTCACCAAAGAGATGTAAGTTAAATATCCCATAATTACAAGACAAATTTTTCGCCCTATTATTAACTCTTTTATTATCGTTATGTATTTGGATTAATCGAAAATTGACCTGCGATCGCTTTAATGTGCAGTAACTGCACGTAGACGATTACTTACTGATTGTTTCCAAATCATTACTGAAAATTTCACGGTTTATACTTGCGCGATTTAGTCACGATTTGTTTACTATTTGGGCACAATTTGATACAATTTCGGCAATTATACATGGATTTAAAAGATTTTTTTCACCGTGCGTACGTACATCCTACCAGAATGCACTTGCACGTGATAGCGTTAAACTTAACTCCGGCCAGTGCATACGTTAATATCGTACACATGATGCGTAAGTTAAAGATGCTCATCATATTAAGGCATGCCCAATAGAATATAATAAATTAGGAATTTTTGTTTATAAAAAAAAGAGAAATTATATTCGGATTAATTTTTAATCCATCGGATGGATTTTCAACCCGAATCGAATTACTCTCTTTTTCTATATTTGAAAGGATTTTTAAATTTACTAGGGGTATACTGTAGTTGTATAGTTGCCTATCGTCAATCCGCGGATTGGAAATAGGTCTGGACTGATTGTTAAATGGTGCGTAGAATTAGTTAGCTTCTCTTCACGTACTGAGCGGTTCAAATGGCCATAGTTTATTAATTATTTAACTGTTCTAATGAAAGTCCTAATAAAGAAATCGTATACCCAATTTAAAAAAAATTAGGTCGATTAATCATTAATTTAACGCCGATCGGTTGCATGATATTTCTGTTTATTTTGGTTTAATTTTTGCGTAGCATATTAAATATCCGCCTTTTGACCCAATAAAATTTTTGGGTCTTTTAAATCGTAATTACTTTGTATTATGATATGTCTTATGATGGATTATTTGTAACATCATATTGTTTGATTGAAAATTTTATTAAATTCAGTGGCTTTTTGCTAAGTAAAATTCTCTGAATACATTATAAAGTCAAAATTGTCTTTTAGCTTAGTTAATACTCATTTTATTACAAAATTCGCGATCATTATAAAGAAGAATACTTTCTTTATCGTTAAACTTTATTTTTATAATCTTCCTTAATTAATCTACTCGCTTTCCATGCAACCATAGCAGTGGGAGCATTAAGATTACCAGCCGGAATAGTTGGAAAGATTGAAGCATCAACAACTCGAAGATTTTTGGTTCCATAAACTTGAAGACGATGATTAATACATCCTCCTTGAGATTCTGGTGCCATCTTTACAGTACCACATGGATG